GCGGCATTTCAGCACAGAGGCTCCCAAGCTATGCAATGAGCTTCCTGCTGAAATACACCAGACACTTAAGTTGGTGAGTTTTCACCTGGTGTTAAAATATTTCTATTTGCTCCAGCTTTCCCTGCTCTTAGATATCAGTTGAATGGTCAGTTATTACCATTTTGATATGGTGCTTTGAAGTGTTGCTTTGATGGCTTTATTCTTCACCACCTTAGGAGGTGGTATTGAAATATTTTAGATAAATAATATAGATAATAACAGGGGAATAATCATCACAGCTCTGTACAGAGTTATTCCTTCCAGTTGTGTAATACCTGCCTTCTACAATTCAACTATCTACAGTAATTGCCATTTGTATCACTATAACTATGCTACAATAGTATATCATGCATAACAACCTGAAACATTGAAAGCTATGATGGCTTACACTCTGGCTCCACAGTTGGTGGCAGTAATGCTTCTGAATACTAGTTGCTGGAAAGCAAAGGAGGGGAGAATACTCATATCCTGCTTACTGTCTTTTTTTGCTCTATAAGACTCACTTTTTCCCTCCTAAAAAGTAAGGGGAAATGTGTGTGCGTCTTATGGAGCAAATGCAGGCCGCACAGCTATCCCAGAAGCCAGAACAGTGAGAGGGATTGCTGCGTAGTGAACAGTGAGAGGGATTGCTGCGTAGTGATTCCTCTTGCTGTTCTGGCTTCTGGGATTCAGAATATTTTTTTCTTGTTTTCCTCCTCCAAAAACTAGGTGCGCTTGATGGTCTGGTGCATCTTATAGAGCGAAAAATATGGTAATTCAAGGGCATTTGGGTGAACACTGTGAGAACAGGATGTTGGACTAGATGGGCCATTGGCCTGATCCAGCAGGCTCTTCTTAACTACATTGTATTCAGAAGCCAACTTGAGTAACATTTGACTTGACATGCTGAACTGGATTTGTCAAGCCAAAACTATTACTGGTTTCTGCTGAACTTCCTCTCGCCTTACAACAACAGAATAGTTTCCCCCAGAAAGTCTTGCTAAAACTTTCCTCTTATGTCTTTAATGCCTAGAACTGTAACAATAAAGAGCTGAGACTTCCCATATGGCTTAAATGGAATCCTGAAAATTCTCCATTGCTCCATTTTTCACAAGAAGTTTCCAGGCCAAATGGCAATGATGGTGAATGAGTCCATGTCTAATCTATGTCCCAAAGTTGGAAAGCAATTTCTTAACTTCCCCCTTTCCTAACCATGTCATATTTAGCCAGGGTGTAGTATTGCAGCATTGACAACATTAACCATAGCTAATGTGAACCAGGTTCCTGCAAACCCGATTCACTAGGTTAAATTAGGGCCCTTTTGTGTTAATCATATTTAGTAGTGCAAACACAATGCTAAGATATTTAACTGAGAAGGAGGGGACCACAGCAGCCTACAACCTTTCTGACTACTTTAGCATGATTAAGAAATTGCAGTGCTAGATTTGTACTGAGACTATAGATACCAATTCTTTATCACTCCCTTTCTCTATCCTTGCTTTCTTTTCCTATCAAACTTTTGGTTTACTGAGTAGAGAACTGCCACTCATGCTATCTAGCAAAGCACCAACTGGTGTTGTAAACCGCCCAGAGTGGCTGGGGAAATCCAGTCAGATGGGCGGGGTATAAATAATAAAATTTATTAGTAGCAGTAGTAGTAAAAGATGAAGAATCATGAAAGAATCTGCTCCAGACATTTGACCTAAGTACCAACCATGGCTTTGTTTTTTAGAGAGCACCTGTTGTTCGCTAGAAGAAAGGAAGCTGCAGGGCACAAACAAATGCAAATATTTGTTCAGACTTTCACACGTTTATAATGAGATATAAATGCTGGATAAATTAATTCTCAGCTGAATAACCCTGAATGAAGGGACTCCACAAGGGAGTAATCAGTTGTGGTCCCGATCTTTTATTTAGCCCTTCAAAGTGTAAGAATCCACAAGACAAACAAAGGCCATGTTTAACAGTTTAGTGCACTTGTGTGCGCACATTTGTCTCCAATCACTTATGCGTAGATAGCAAAATTGGCAAGAGGTCAGGCCACATTCTAAATCTAACAATCATTTACTACATAGCAGGTTGTTAGGAACTAATTTTTGCTAGGACACAGTCGTTTTCTAATTATGATTACAGAGTGTTGTCCTAAGTGCTGCAAAGGAACCCCTTGAGCTCAGGAGCACCGATGGGTAGAGCCACAAATGAAGACTGAAAAATCCCCAGTGTCATTCTTAAAAAGCTAATTTACCGAAATGCTATGGGGATTTTATACAATGGTGCTTGATCTTTAGTGATGATTGTGTCGTTAATGTTTGAGTTTAAAAAACAGACAGAAAAGCTGTATGGTGTGATGTGTGAAAAAAAACGTGAATGAATAAGGTTAAACATTTCATTTATCACATTATGACATACTATCCTAAATATCTGAGTTGAGTACGTTGTTTCACTCTAATCAATTTGCTGTGGCAAGAAGTCTTACAACTCAACTAGGTATTCGAAAATTGCAATGATATTTCTAGATTATTTTTCTGATACCATGTATCAGAAATGTAACTTCTGGAGTAGCAGAAAAAAGAAGGAAACTGCAGACTTGAAGTAATCTTTAGTTCAAAGTGAATGTGTGATTTTTTTTCCAGTTCAAACTTAACATGAAGTGTTAGCTGTGTCACTCTTAGAGCATTAGGTTTCCACAACTAAAATTAGCTGCCATATAATTTCATTAAATATGCTATGACACTGTGGGTATAACACCAGATTACATTAACAGACTGCATTATCACATTTGTGACACATTTAATGCTACAGATAACTGGGAACGTATTCCGTATGAAATACACATTTCCCATTTAAAATAATAATAAGGAAAGAAACTTTTTTCAATTCACATTTTGGAAAGCATGGTTCCTGACCTACTCATAATAATGGCATGTTGTTTGGTAGCATTTCCTAACACTACGTGGTGTGCATTCCGATCAGATAATTTCTATAACAGTGACTTGAACATATAATGCTAGGCATTTAGCACTGCTGAATTAATAACATATCCAATAAAGAGCTAGTTTCAATGCATTTTAAATCAAAATATTGTCGTGGCCTCTGCCCCATTTGCTTCATCTTTCCCCCACCTTTTTCAAAGGCAGAGCAGAAAGGCTCAAATTAGCTTTGTAGTACTAATTGGACAGAATAGTGCAATCTGCAAAGTTGATTAATGGCCCTGTTCTCAGGCTGGGAATTGCAACTGCAAAAGAATTAGGCCTCTGAATTTGCATAGTTTCTATAATTACAACCCTCTTCAAATCTCATTTCCTCGCTGAATTTTGGCTCCACATTAATGTTTTAGTATAATTTGTACAGATCTCACTGCTGACATGCAGAATGACGGGATACACAAGTTACATGTACCTGGCAAATCAATCTAACCACAAGCAGTCTACTTAACACACTTGTAGAAGTTGTGGGAAGCTATTCAAGAAAGCTTCAATATAGAGTATTTTCCTCAGTCCAGTCAACACACCCTTCAAGCCAATCTTGCACAATATTGAGGTGCAAACACAGTTCTTTTCAATTTATATTTAAAAGATAAAATAAAAGTAAGAAAAACATTTTTAAAACATTTCGTATCTCTTTTAAGACTGTTACATCTTGAGATAACCCCACATTGGTTTGAGGATCAGTTCATATCACCTTTAGGCACAAGGCCAGCTGCCTATTTTTCTGGCCAGCTTAACATTTTTCATCATAGTGAGTGGCTTCAAGCATATCCACTGCAAAGCAGCTCTATGAGAGCTCCACTGTATTCTCAATTCAAGATTAAATATGTCGCCCCACAACACACATTAGGGTTGATTAAATGACTGTGCAGAACCATGGTTCTTGCTCACAGTGAAGTTGCCATGAACAAGTAAATGCACTCTGGGCCAGTCACCTGGTTAAAATCAAGCAGGAACATGCAAAGACACTATGAGAGAGAGGACACATATGTATACCCAAGGGGGTCTGTGTAACCCACCCAAGGGGACCGTGGCACCTTTCACATGACAAAAACTACCATAGAGATATCAACATTTTCAAAAGTAGGAGGTCCAAGGTTTGGCTTTGGAAAACAAAGGGTCTGCAGTACAGAGCTAACTGGGAACCAGTGTTGTATAGAATCAATGGTTAATAAAGTCAATTATTACAGGACAAAAATGTGCATTTTCCTGCCTCCCGCCCCCCATCATTGGAAAAGAAGCTGTTAGAGCAAGTCAACAATAATACTTGCCCAAGAAGCATTTAGTGGACAGCACGGCAAGGTGGAAATGCCAAATGCCAGCTTTAAGAAGAACCACTGTGGAATGATTTGAATTCTATTTCTACCATAAGGCATCTGTGTGTGTTTTTTAAATATGGCAGGATTTAAGTGATTCTTTCCATATTTAAAAAACACACACAGATGCCTTATGGTAGAAATAGAATTCAAATCATTCCACAGTGGTTCTTCTTAAAGCTGGCATTTGGCATTTTTTAAATATGGCAGGATTTAAGTGATTCTTTAGGGACACGGTGGTGCTGTGGGTAAAACCTCAGCGCCTAGGACTTGCCGATCGCATGGTCGGCGGTTCGAATCCCTGCGGCGGGGTGAGCTCCCGTCATTCAGTCCCAGCTCCTGCCCACCTAGCAGTTCGAAAGCACCCTTAAGTGCAAGTAGATAAATAGGTACCGCTTTATAGCGGGAAGGTAAACGGTGTTTCCGTGTGCTGCTCTGGTGCCGGTTTGCCGGTGCAGCTTCGACACGCTGGCCACGTGACCCGGAAGTGTCTGCGGACAGCGCTGGCTCCTGGCCTCTAGAGTGAGATGAGCACACAACCCTAGAGTCTGTCAAGATGGGCCCGTACGGGCAGGGGTACCTTTAACTTTACTTTACCTAAGTGATTCTTTATTCTTTTAGATAAACGCACTTCATCAATATGGTGCAGAAACTGATACATCCAAGCCACAGTTCTTACCTTATAGACAGCAGGAATGATTTGGTGCATTTTTAGCCTATGAAATACAAAGACGTCGTAAACGGCTGAAACTGCTAGAACAGTCACTCCTTGCTCCTTCCACAACATGCTGCAGGTGGCGCATAGCCCTGCACCCAAGATCCAGCCCCAGGTTCCTTCTGAGTAGTTCCTTGTGCAGCAGTGTTTAGTATAACAGACCAGGGACAGCAGAAAGAAAAGGCAAGCTCCAATATCAGCCCTTCCTACAATTCCTGCAACCGCTTCAGTATGGATGGGATGCGAAGCAAACAGCAAGCCAGCCAGTAAGGTCCAATATCCATCGCCAAACAATATTCGGGAAAAATTTGTGAAAAGACCTGTGACTGCAGCATGTAAGAGGACATTTACAAGGTGGTAGCTCCAAGGATCCATTCCTCCGATAGCATGGTTAATTCGAAAAGAGAGCGTACAGAGAGGTCGATACGACTTGTGACTCCCGCTGTGAGTAAGGAGAGTGCCCCAGAAGTCATTGTAGAATATCTGAGTCCATGGCGTTTCAGGAAGAAGATCCTGGTTTGTCTTGATAGCTCGGCTGAAAAATAAGAGCAAACACAGAAAGAATCAGACTACATGACCACTACAGTCGAGACTACTAAATTATATGCACATTCTCTCTTTTTCTTTTTCTAAATTAGCACAAAAAATATGTATTATCAGAGCTATTCCACTTCTTAAAATTTCATACTTTGCAGTACAAGCAGTGTTAGAAGTATCTCTTCTATTGACTTTTTGCTACAATAAATTTCCATATAAATTGGCTTTTAAAACCTTAGAAACAGATGTTATGCTGGATCCATTAAATTAAAACACCCTTCAATGACATTCATCTGAGTCTAACCCAGAAGCAATCACTTATGAGTTGATGGGTTATAATTAAAACGTAAAAGAAATATGAGTAGCTGACAAAAAAAGTGTGGCTTAAACTAGCAATTCCTTACCAGTTCCAAACTAAAACCCCAACTGGCCTTTTGCACACCTATTTTAATTTACATGATAGAATTTAATTTGCTCACATGAACTAGCAATAACTACACAAAGTTACCAGATGTATGCAAATTTTTAATCCACAGAGAAATTCTTTGACAGACACAACAAATCTGTCTAATAAAGATAATTCTGCAGCCCATGTTTGACCAACTATAGGCGGCTAAAAGATTATGGATTTCACAGGGACCTGAAGTCAAGTTTTGCTGGTAGCCAGTTCCATAAATTCAAAGTGACTGTTTTATTTTGTCCCTTCTAACCCCATATTTTCCATAGCAGCTTCCATACAGGTAATGGCATAGGTATAAACTCAGTTTCCTCAGCTACTGTATCATACCAGCTGAAATGAAACAGAAATGGAATCTCTCTGTGTGTGTGTTTATTTTTGCATAAAAGGAATCTGTTCCTGGCGTGAGCTTATACACATACATGTAGAAGAAGAAGAAGAGTTTGGATTTGATATCCCGCCTTTCACTCCCTTTAAGGAGTCTCAAAGTGGCTAACATTCTCCTTTCCCTTCCTCCCCCACAACAAACACTCTGTGAGGTGAGTGGGGCTGAGAGACTTCAGAGAAGTATGACTGGCCCAAGGTCACCCAGCAGCTGCATGTGGAGGAGCGGAGACGCGATAGATAACGAGACTACCGCTCTTAAGTACTACACCACACTGGCTTGGATGCAAAGTTGTTAAACTTGGGTTCCCTTCCCAATTGTTAGTTGCAAATATCTCTCTGTTAGCAGGTATATAGGTAAATCACTAAAAGGATATGTAACAATTAAGCACAAACACACATACAATACAGCCAAGTGTTACACTGGACAACTTTATCTTACAAATGGGATGGCTGATATTGGGCTTAGTAGGGCAAAGAAGATACAAAAAGGATGTTCTCCCACTTTTTGCCAACTGAATTAATGGAAAAACAGATTTATTCTGTTTTATTCAGATTTATATACATTTTATGACCAGAGTTCATTCCTGCAGTGATGCAACAGAAACTGAAAGAAAGAAAACATCAGAGATCCTCAGACACATCACTACCCATCCTTTTTGCTTTTTTTTTAAAAAAAAGAACATTATATATAAATGGATTGCTTTCAGCAGGTTTGCTCCAAATAGAAAAAACCGCTGCCGTTATTGAATTTGCTGACATTGCAAATACACCACTGTTCTGCAAATACATACAAAGCTCGGCAGTTCCATTGTCTAAAGTACATTGCTGTTACATTTTAAGGAACATTTGTTGCATGTAGATCCTTTTGGTTTGCGTATAGATTGAGGTCAGTAAAATATTTATTTTGATTTTTGCTGAGGTTGTTTATGAACTTTGCCTCCATTTCTGGTTCCACTTAACTATTATTAGAAATGGAAATGGGGGGGGGGAGAGAGAGACAAACAAAATCTTCATCTCTGGTACATTTGTTGCCCCATCATTCTTTAATTTAACATCAGAATCTTCTGTTTGTGATCTCACATCCTGAAACATAAGTTTCCAGACTGAGAGACAATGAATGGGATGCTGAAAACAATCAAGGACTGCCTCCAATCCACTACCACAGCCAAACAAGAGTGGCCTTTAAAGACTTCACTTTCCAGAAAATCTACACTGAGGCAACATAGTCCATCATGCTTATAAACTTCACAGGACTAGAAAATATAACCAGGAGAATTAAAAGGAATCATTTCTGAAGTTTTGCAAAATCAGGCAAACATTTCCAAGAGACTTTTTTTTAAAAAAAAATAAAAATGTGGGTGGCACTGTGGTCTAAACCACTGAGCCTCTTGGACTTGCCAGTCAGAAGGTTGGTGGTTCGAATCCCCACAATGGGGTGAGCACTCATTGTTCTGTCCCACCTCCTGCCAACCCAGCAGTTTGAAAGCATGCCAGTGCAGGTAGATAAATAGGTACCGCTGCGGTGGGAAGGTAAACTGCGTTTCCGTGTGCCCTGGCTTCTGTCAGGGTGTTCTGTTGTGCCAGAAGCAGTTTAGTCATGCTGGCTACATGACCCGGAAAGCTGCCTGTGAACAAACGCCAGCTCCCTCGGCCTGAAAGCAAGAGGAGCACAACAACCCCATGGTCGTCTTTGACTTTACAAAAAAATCCCCTGACACGTTCCACTCCCTTCTTCTCTTCTACCTATTTGATTCCCCACATGTTAGGGCCCACTTGCAGGTATCCTGGGAAAAGAGACCCTGCAGTGGGCAGATTTCCTCAAGGTCTCACTAAGGGAAGAGAATGCTGCTTTGTTACAACTGAGAATTGTGACTTGGCAGCTGGTCTCTTCCCCACAGTTCACCAACGCACAGGTCCTTTTGGACCAGCAGAATCCCCTCAAAGCAGGACGAGGCATGCTAATGCATGCTCTGCGAACACATGCAGGGAACAGAAATGGAACCCCTACATGAAATGGTCGTCGCCTGTATACAAAGGGATCCCTTTGTTTACCACACTGTAGCACCACACAAATAATGGCCAGAGATAGGTATTGCAGCTAGTTGGCTAGAGTTCATTTAGGTGCCTCAGTGGCTTTCCTGGTTTGATTGATCTTCCTCAGTCTAAGAAAAAACATCAAATAAGAGAAGCTTCTCCAGAGAGATTCCTCTGTCTTGTTTTACTTCCCCTCCCCTGGACTGCTATGAAACAGGTAGAGAAATCTGTCTTCATAGGCCACTGACACTTCATGACAAAAACGCTTCTGTCATAATTGAACTTTAAAGGATATAAGGGTTATTATAAAATTCCCATTTTACTTAATTTACTTGTGACTCTAATGGAACACTTATTTAAACATACTGAGCTTTATGTATAAGTGATGGCTGCTTTGTCTTTAGGTGCATGCCTCTATATCTGTTTATGTTTAAGCTACTTTAACATGCTATACCATTTGTTTCCACAGACCTGTAACAGTGCTCATATCATCTCTTGTGTTGAGACCTGCTCAAATATGATTTTCTTTCATAGCAGGCAGTAGAGATATACAAACTCTCTCCTGTCTTAATTCCTGATTTTTATGTTTACGAAGAATTGATTGTGAACCCCATACTCCTATGCACATTAATAGGCATATCTTCACTTGTATATAGTCCGTGTATGTTGCTGTTGTTTTTAAGTATTTTAATGAAATAGCCTAAGCCAAAGAAACTACTGTATGAGTGGACCCAACAATAAATGTGGAATAAGTAAGCTCCTGGCAACTGTCGATCACTTGCATTTTCAGTAGACTGCAGTTATCCTGATACTTTACAAATGTAATTTCTATTCTTGGTCTGGTCAATATTTGACCTATATGTGTATGTGTTCTTTAGAACAGACTTAAATTGGAAATGCACATATCCAGCTTTTGTTATCAGAAATCAACAGAGTTCTGTACAGGTGTTAAGAGTTCCCACTCCAGTGAATTCTTGGGAGCAGGGATGAAGGTTGCACAGGAATTTGTTTCATAAGCCTGAGATACCTTGTAGAAGAAAATAGGTTTTGTATTAAGGCTGTTGAAGCTCTTCAGTTGTATGGTGATGACTGGCAGGAACTACATGAAAAGAGAACTTTAAAAATTCCATTTCCACTTAAAACTATGAGACGGGTCACAGATCAGTAGCAGAAAACATGCTTTGCATATAGAAGGAACCACATTCAACCAATATGTAATTGATGGACTTGCACATAGTATTACTGTGCATTGGTAAACAGATTCAATTGTTTTACTATTCAAACAGCTACTTAGTTTCCTACTCTAAACTTTATTGAAGCTACATTTAAGAAGGAAAACATTTATTCTAAACCATGTATCAAAACTTTTGAACAAAGTGGATGTTTGTCTAAAAAGGATACTTTTTAGAGACTTAATATCAATGCTCCTAGACCTCTTTTTTGCCCTAGAACAAAACTAGCATCTATATGTGGTTTCTGTTTTGTAGTAACTAGCAGTCATTTCATTGGAAACAATACTACTCTATTTCTCCATTTTTTAAAAAAGTGGGAGGGGGGTAGAGAAGAGAGAAATACCTGGAACTACTTTCAAAAAGACAATAAATGAATGAGGAAAACTGATAAAAATGCAGTAATTGCTTACTGTTAGGTGTCCAGAAAATAAAACACCCGCTACACACACCTGTTAAGTATTAGAAGAGACATGGTCATGATGCTAAATCAATTGATTGATACTAAATCAATTCCAACTAAAAATAAAAAGGTACTGACTTATTTCGGCTTTACAGCAGGTGAGACTAACCTGACATTCTTCAGTTGTTGTTGTTGGGCTCCAACTCCCATCACCTCCAGGCAGCATGGGCCAATGGTCAGGGATCATGTGAGTTTCAGTCCAAGAACATACGGAGGGCTACAGTTTCCTCATATGTCCTTTAGAACGATGCATGCCAGGAAAGCTATTCCTTGGAGCAGTTACCAGAAAAGCCTTGGAGACTGAACAACTACAGCATCGAACGGTAAACGCTGCTATCTCAGTTATGAAGGTGCTTGCAACGCCTGAATCTTGCTACTTTCAGCTGTGCAGGTGTGATCAAGTTTTTTTTTCTCCCTCCCCAAATAAA